GACAGAGCAGTCAAGTGTTGTAATATCCAAACCATGTGGTGGATCAGCTTGGTAATGTAAATCCGGCTCATGAGGGCTCCCTTGAGATCAAGAGTATAAAGATTGCATGGACACTGGTTTGATTGGGCATAACCCGCGATTTACATCCGCCTAGAGTTGAGACACCGGTTCTGAGTGGTCCAGGATATAGTTTGGTGTAAGTTGGGAAACCTGGGTATAAAAAAAAAAGATATGTTAAAGATGTGTCGACACGACACACGTGCCATTTTTTTTATGGCAAGGGCGGTGGGGGTGCTGGGGTTAGGGATCTTTGTCTTTCAATGTTTGAAACCAACAAAAAATTGACAACTAACATAAATTATGATAGTTTTAAGATTCTTGCTGGCCCATATAATATTCTGTATTTTTATAGCCCTTTTTCTTTCTCAGATTCTAATACCACGTTAATGTACTTACAAAATTTATTGATGTTGTGTTAGCATGTGACCCGCCATCAGCCGTGCATGCTCTTGAATTATTCGTATTAATAAAAAACAAAAAAAAATAGCCTGACCGGAGGAAAAGGGACTATTGTTAATTTATTTATTATTATTGTTATTCTTTTGAGGAGAGGGTGGGATTTGTCAATGTGAGGCTGTGAGCCTCATTAAAGAAATAAAAAAAGAAAAATCTAAAATATCTACCAATCATGCAACGAATTAGCCAATTTCACTATCATTATTTTCAAATTTTTTTTCTATATATTCATTTTCAATCGTACATTCATATAATAAAAAAATTTGCACGTAAATTCAAAAATTTTCGACACTTTTTAACTACACATTTTCCTAAAAATTACTATTCAAACTCTGTTTTCCTAATAATGTTTTTGAATAGACTAGTAGTAGTGTATTAAAGTTTCAATAAGGGAAAATATATGGAAAAGTCGATTTTGAGGTCGTGTAAGAGGTGCAATGGAAAGGGGCGCATGATTATACTTATAGAGAACCCCATCAATACATAATGGGATATATATATTTCAATTTAATTTAAAGAATATTTTTAGAAGGGAATTTTTTTTATTATTATTATTATTTTAAATAAAGTTAAAGGCCACAACGTTTAGGAGGAAAGAAAATAGACTATTGTTTGACGAATTATGTTACATGTACAATGTTGATTGACAAAATAACATCTACACCAATAATTTTAAAAACAGAATTTTGAAATCAACCGTCTGAATTTTGCCAACACGTTTTGTAACCCAATTTTGTACAAATAGCTTTATTGATTGTTTGACCCAAAAAAATGTGGCACAAAAAAAGGAATTTTTTTTTTTTTTTTTTAAGATTTCGTGTGGGTCAGAGCCCTTTTGGTAGGCGTTAATTTAATTCACCGAGAAATACCAAAACTAACCCATTTTGAAGTTAATTAACGTGACTGTCCATATCAATTTTACTCTTTCACTCAGAATCAACCATTTGTCCATGAAAGAAATTGCCTTTTATTTGACGATCGAGTTCGATTTTATTCTTTAACGTAAAATCAACCATTTCTTTATGAAAGTGGTATCTTAGCTTTGTACTACCATTTGCTCAATCGCTTTATACTCGAACTTTCTTGCAGAAACTCACATCACTAAGGAATCTTGTGCTGCTCTTCTTTACCACACTGATACCCACCATATACACATATATATTTCAATATGAAATAATTAAAAAGGAAAAAGATCCTGGGACCATATAACGACATTGTTGAATGAAAGGGTTACATAGGATATTTTCAGGAACCAACTTTCCGATGAAAGCAAAGAGAGCAATTGATAGGATAAGATGTACTGTACTGAATATAAAGCAGACCCATCAGTGTAGAGTGAAATGTTTAACTCTGTGTCAACTGAAAATATTTCATTCAAGTAGTACAGTCTGAGTTGTTAGAGAGATGGACAAGCAAGTTGATTGACCTCAAGATTGCATGACAAGTTGGCATTTTTAGAGAATCTTCAATCTGCTAAAAGTGGCACAGAGTTTCTGGAAACCTATTTATGGATTAAAGTCGAGGATTGCAGTAGATTGTTGGTAGGGGTGTTAAATGGAGTGACTCGATCCACTCATTTCATCTATCGTTGAGTTCAGTTTGACTCGTCGACAAGACTAGCACGAGCCTGCTTGCACAATAAAAGTGTGGTTTGGCTCATCCCACGAGCTTGCCCTTTCGTGGGGCTAGCCAAATCGGCTCTTGTTTTTTCTTTTTCTTTTTTTTACTAAAATTTGCATATTTCTCTCAAATTTAACAAGTCGACTAGTGAGCTCGTGAGCAATTCAGCTCACCCAGCTAGCCTGCTCCCATGAGCCGACGAGTGGCTCACCCATTTACCATCCATAGGTGATGGTCAAGTTAAAATTTGCGAATCTTGTTACGTGAATCTCAATATACATTTTGTTGAGGCATCTCCATTTTGTAGGTAATGGAATGATGAAAGTGATTATGTGGTGGAACATAGAGTTATTGAAGAAAAAATGCGTGCATGTTTGGTGAAGATTATTATTTTTTAAGTTGATTAAACATATTTTTTATATGCACAGAACTTTACGGCTTACTAATTTTACTTATCATTTCCACTTCCACGATCTGTAGGACTAACAGTCAAAAAACATGTAAAAAACACTCGTGCAATTCCAGTACATTATCGAAAAAGCTTGAAGAGAAGTTCAATAACATACTCATTGGGTTTGGTACTTCACTCTCATGAACCAACGAATAGATATGTAATAAAATCTTCATTTTGAGGAATGAATAGAATTTAGAGAATCGACATTAGTTGATTATTTGTAAACAAACGAATTGTTCTTCATAATACATAAAAACAAGTGATTTTATAAATAAAAGTTGTTTCTATGTTATGAACTCAGATTACCTTGATTCTAACTGGATTGAATTTCTAGTCCAAGACTCAGCTTGTTGCAAAATCAGTCCAGGAGAAATTTAAATTGGCCCGGCCCAACTAAGAGTCATTCACCAGAGGCCCCATATATTGTTCGTCGCCCTCTTTCCCCAGCTGTTAATTTTCAACCATTAGACTAAGTAATAAAATCTTTCACTTAGCCATAATATTTGTTAGCTGTTATATCCTGAGTATTATGAGCTACTTAGTTACTATTTTATCTCTGAAAGAAAATTTGGATATTTTAATTTTTGAACCAATATTTGAACGAGTGTTTGTATCAAGTTAGCTAATTCCAACTGCTAGGTTGGCCTGTTGGAGATGGCTCAACAAGTTCATAAACTACAAGGTAAGTCGATTTTACTCATACCATGACACTCTCACCTCGACATATTACCATATAACTCGATATATGCACTAAATAGTTAACGGACATCTTTGCATTTTCTCGCAAAAACATCTTGCACTTATTAGCAGGGTTCTAAAAGGCGAGAAAAAAGCGGGCCTAACGTTTGAGACGTGAAGAATGCATCTTGCATATGAAAATACGTGAAAAAGACAATCAATCCTATTTTGATCGCTTATAAAGCGAGGTTGCGAGCCCGAGTACCAAATGTATGATTAATGTGAGCCCAAATGTCAAAAGGCGCGTCTTTTTGTTATTATATTTAAGTAAAGTGAATTAGTTACATAAAAATATCAGGGTTCTTAAAGACGAGAAAAAGGCGGGCCTAACGTTCGAGACGTGAAGAATGCGTCTTGCATATGAAAATACGTGAAAAAGACGGTCAATCCTATTTTGACAGCTTATAAAGCGAGGTTGCGAGCCCGAGTACCAAATGTATGATTAATGTGAGCCCAAATGTCAAAAAGCGCGTCTTTTTATTATTATATTTAAGTAAAGTGAATTAGTTACATAAAAATATTATCCATAATTTTATAATAATTAAAATAATATAAAAAATCTTTAGGTGTATGGAGCTTTTAGTCAATTTGCATCGATTGACGAGGATTAATTTCGTTGGTTAACTAATTTTGGTAAAATAAATAATCTATAAACGGTAAAGATCCCAAAAAATAGAAGCTAATTGCTTGAGAAGACATTTTTTTTTTAATTCACTTAAAACAATTAATATTTCCACTTTATTTTTTTATTGCTTCAATCTTCATTTTCAATTAATTATTAGAATTTTTATTTCCAAGACAGATATTAATAAGCATTTATCTAGACTTTTTTTAATGTAATACATATTGCATACACACAAAATAGAAATAAAATAAATTCGAGGAGATCTTATGTTTGCTCATTTGCTCTTTATTAAAACCATAAACGTCAGTTTTGTATGGACAAGATACCAAAGAGCATATAATGTTAACATTGGAATTTTGATTATGTACCTTTGTAAAGTGTGTACTATTAATTAATTTTGATATCAATCTTTTAGAAGATCCTTTTAATTTTGATTATCTAATTTTTTTTAGCGTCTCGAATGTTTTATAACAATGAATTATATTAAGAGAGTGTTTAGTAGAGATTAAAATTAGATTTTTAGTGAATTGTGATAAAAAATTTTGAAATTTGTGGTTGAAAAGATGTGGGACCCACGAAAGATGTGGTTAATATTGATTGTTTAACTTTGACTTAAATTAAAATCAGATTTTAATCCAACCCTAATAGACCCTAAAAAGTGATGCATTTCACTTTTATTCTCCATAATGGTCCGTGGTAATTGATTATTTGGTGCGATGTCCCCGTCGCTTATTGGAGATGAGAGTTTTGATCTCGAGAGTAGCTAGTCGCTACCATAAAACCTCTAGCGTCCAAGAAATAGTTGTTTTTGCTTGAAACAATGAGTCGTTTACATAAAACAATCATGTTAGGGTGCTAGAAAGAATTTGACATCCTAGGTGACATACACTCACAATTGGGAGTGGATGGGAGGATTTTTTTGTATTTTATATTCACGTGGGTCCCATACACATGTGAGAGTAGGTCATTCAAGATATCAAATTCTTTTTGACAACATGACTTAATTCTTAAAATCTACATCAAAACAAACTATATACATATTTTATTGGCTTTTGTCTTAGGACAGAAGTCTCCGACGTGATTCCGAGTGCTCGTGAAACTGGGCTCTCTAGCTCACCAATGCTTATTGTATTGAAGTTGAGCTATTGTTGGGACGATATAAACATAGTTATCCTCTTGGACGTAACTCTTCGACAGTCAACTTCAACGCAAAATATCCTTACTGATAGGAAAAGAAATTGAAGGATAGAATACTATTACGTTGACTAACCCTATATTTTGACACGAGCCCAGCTAATACAAATCAACCGAATATTTTGGGGTTACACTTTTTATTCGAGTTGCCATAAATGTCCTTGACATTTCCTGTAATAATTCTTATGTACGTGCTAATGTGCGACAAGTGGAAGGGTAAATCGGGTAGAGCAGTTCATCCATCGATGTCGGGGCTTAAAATGACTTCCGACCACATGAAACTCACACTGTGCTGTAAACTTATAATTTGACCACGTAATCAATATGGTTCAATCGCTTTACACGTGGCAAGCGTGGGAGAGCTTGCTGTTGCACCAATTGATTATAAATTCTATCAGAATTCAAGTCACACACGTTAAGTAAATTAATTGGTTAAGCTTAACATTTTTCAAACTTAATTTTATGCAATATTTTGTTAATTATTTTTAAAATATTTTTCTTTATTATGGATGATGAATCTTGCAAGTCAAATATTGCTTGAAAAATGAAGTTACGTAAATTTAGACCTTATTAATTTGTCGAGATAGTATGTAAGTTTTCAAGTGTAATGACGCGAATAACTTTGTGAACAAAAAATTTTTTGTACCAGAAATAGAAACATCAGTCGTCATCTCTCTTTACGGAGATTCTACTCTAATTTTACAATCTGCATACTATTTTTCTTCTTTACAGCGATGACTTAAAATGCGAGCCATCAAATAGAATTTAGTTATAAAAAGAAGTGGGGAAAACTACAAAAACATTCCACGAAGCACATGTCGAGATAGTTCAATTTTTCAAGTGTTAGTTGTCAATTTTATGTGTAAAAACCACGTGAACATCTCGAAATGCTTCAAAAATTTTCCTACACTAATAAAGAAGAGATATGTTCGAGTCCTCTCAGGGCCATTGAAGTAAGCATCCGATCGTAAACTTCAGGGCCACGTGAGATTAGTCGAGGTACGCGCAAACTTGTTCGGACGTCTACGATTATAAAAAAAAAAGATATGAGTTGTTATCTTTCGATCTGAAGATTCTACATTAATTTCACATTCAGCACACCGTTTTTCTCCATTATAATGACGATTAAATACTTTTGTGTTGTCAAATAATGTCTAGCCATGAAAAGAAATGAATGGCGACCACAAGAACATTTCACCAAGTACATGTCGAGATAGTTCAAAATAGTTGAATGTATGGAAATTTCATAATAGTTGCACAATTCCGCACGTAGTTTTTTTCTTTTTACAATAACAAATCAAAAATCAATTAATGGAGGCATAGGTACTTTCCCTCTACTGGTTTTCTCCCAAACCCGACTTCAATATCTCTATGAACCAAAATTTTCTCCATACTTGCTACAAGTAGAAAGAAATGTGAGTTGTCATCTCTTTGTACATAGATTCCATCCACGTTAATTTCACAATCAGCACATAGTTTTCCTTCTTTACAAATGACTAATCATGAATTAATGGATCTATGTTTTTTTTGGAATAAAAAAGGCTTCTAAATTTTATGATACTTACGTGTGTGAATTGAAAAGCATAGAATGCGTACTACGCACTCCGCGTACCCCATAAGAAACCAGTTAAGGGTCACTTTATCACACAACTCACACTAAAATAGGGAAAAAAAAAAAATACCGACAATGTACAATCCTTTTCAGCATTAACGTACAACTCTAACAGATAAAATATTTTTAATCAAGAAAATAGGCATTAATAGAAGACTTGCTTACGAGTACGACATATGTCCCTTAACGCCGTTATGACCACCGGCTTTTCTCCATTAAAAATGGACGGTGTTGAGAAAATCGTCCAAAACGCCGTCTTTCTCTCTCTGCAAATATACAAGTAGAAGAACAAGCAGGCTATCTCTACTTTATACATATCTATATATTCCACAATCTCGCGCTCACCTAGTTTCTCTCTCTACACTTCTCTCTCTAGGGTTGCGGAGCGGTGGGAACGTACAGGTTCGATCTCGTAAGATTCGCTTCTTTTATACGGAGGCTAGGAATAAGCTAGGAATAAATTTATAATTACTCCAATAGATATGTATTATATATTTGATTGTGTTTGTGTGCTAGTGAGAGAGTTATATGTGTTAATAGGGAGATATGAGTGGAAATCATGTGGATCAAAAATGATTATTATGAGATGGTAAGGTATGGTAAATATGTTGACTGTGATTACAGTTATTCGGGCATGAATTTCGGATCTCTTATGACCACTGCAGTGTAGAACTCTTCTTATTTTTTTGGTGTTTTACTAGTATTCTCCTCGGAAATAGCTTTGTGAACCCGCTATGATGCATCTGGCTTTTGTATTCGGGATATAAATTTATCGGTTTGATTTTCACTTCATTAATCAATTTTTTTTTCCTGTATTATTAGTTTTGCTGTGGATTTAGGTATATGTTTCTTGGTGATGGGGGAATTGGTTTTAAATGATTTGAGTCATTTGACTATCATTAGTGGATATGGTTGATTTATCGGTTTTACTTGAACAGTCAAAATGGTACTGTAGTTCTGATTTATTTGATGGTTTGAGTGCAGGTTTTTTTTTTTTTTTATTCGTTCGGATTTTGATTACGGGAATGATTGTAATTTGTATGAGCACTGCAAACCACTCTCAACAGTCTGCATACAGTAGTTTGTGTAGAGACTATAGTTTGGGAAATTATACCTCACAATTATCTATTTCCCTTTTCTTCGTGATTGTTGTGGTGTCAATCATGATATTCAGTATTTCAAATCCTCTCAAGTTTGATAACTGATTGTTGTTGATATCTTTATATTATAGTTTAATTTTTCTCTTAATAGTGTAGAATTATATAGTACTATAATAAATTCCTAATGATTGGTATATAAGTTTTGTACTGCAAGTCTGCTAAGGTATCAGAGATTTGGGTTATCGTGTAATGTCATGGTAAAATACAGAAGGCTTTTCACTGTTGGCTCACGTAAAATATATTAGCTGTTTCAAGATCACAATTAATTGATGTCTGATTGTTGGCATTCAATTTTTAATTGCAGATTCCTCGTGTTTGTATGAGTTCGTGTCCCTTATGCTGAGATCGTTGATGTGAAAGACAGTTACCCATAATTTATCAATAATTTGTTCTGGGTGTGTGAGAAAGAATGGGGTCTGCATGTTGTGTTGCTGCAAGAGATAGAACTATAACAAGTCGAACACCCAGTGAAGCTCTGCAGAGGCATGTTCGACATTCACCATCATGGAGCTTTCTATTGGATAACCGTGGACGGGTGGCGGGTGAAGAGACATCGACTAATAGTTTACTTGATGGAGATGGAGGCGATGATCGTTTGGATGTTAAATCTGCTTCCACTGCAGAAACTGCCTTTGCTTCTGAGGTGGGAAGTTCATTAGACAGTTTCCGGTCGCTTGCATGTCGGAAGTCCCCAGTTTCTGATGGAAATGGTGGAATTTTAAGGTTTCCATCTTCTGGTAAATCTCTAAATGGTAGTTCAAATCTTTTAATTTTGAGATTTATTGTAAATATGAAGTATAACCCTTGAATGGAACATTGTTAAAAGTGGAAAGTTCCAATTGCTCAAGTGAAATTTTACTCCTCTAATCCTCTTCATAATGGTGATGAAGCGAACAGAATAATCTTCCTCGCTAGTTATACTAGTGTACTATAAATCATCCATGCAATGTGTGATTTAGGATGTAATTCGAGTTGTCTTTGGTAGCATGAGATTAGGCCTTGTAATGGGAATTGTAAGCGATCTGTAAATTTCCATTTTTGCGAAAATGCATTTTTCTGTTTCTTATTTTCATCCACACATTCTCTAATAAAATAATTTTATTCGTAAATCCAAAACTTTTTCTTATTTTTTAACCACACATTCTCCGAAAAATCACTATTTCAAAATACATTTTCCCCAAAACCTATTTTTAATTGAGCCCAAACTGGTGCTGTTTTCATTTAACTACTAAAGAAGTGATGTTTTTGCTGTGCTGAATCTTTCAATATGAAAATCAGTACAATTTGTTTCTAGAACAAAAAGAATTCCCAAGTGAAACAAGAAAACAGAAGCCAATGAGCAGATAAAAGAATTTTTTTCACACTTTTAATGCGTGTGTGTTTGTGTAGAGGGGGTCGAGTGGAGGGAGAGGAGCAGACAAGGATAAAGGCCGTTTTATGGCCTTTGTAGTTAAGTATTTTTTGAATGACCGATGAGGTGGTAAGAACCTATAAATAAGTGTCATTTGTTGGCAGTGGTTTATAAATCTTGAAGACTCACTTTTTGTAATTTTAGTGGAGTTGGAGGTTTCCTTATTTTGTATTTGGTTTTTCGTATTATGTCTTTTTACTGCAGACTCATATACTGCAATATACATACATACCGATATAGATTCATTTCAAATGCAGTTCAATTTGATGTATGTGGGTTTTGTTGGATTCCAACAAGTTTCTTTCAAATGCTTCAATGCTTATTGTCTGGTACTTGCACATTTACTGGACTTCCGTAATTGTTTTGCAGATCCACCTGTTTCACAGAAAAATCTAGAGGTATGTGGATAATTTCTGCTGTTGGTCAAATTATATATTACAGCAATATACATGCTATGTATGTTGCACTGATTTTGTCTTCTGAAGTTTCGGATCTTTTTCCTTTTTCTTTTTCTTTTTTTTTTTGGCCACCACTTTTCAGTTGAATGAACCTGCTGAATCTGCAGCAGTATCGTACCCATCTCCTGTTAAGCTATCTCCATCAGCCCCTTCAGTTTCGCCATTGTTATCATCTCCTTTGTCATCCCACAGCCACATGCTTCCTCCAAAGTCGACTCCTTCCAGGTGGAGTCCTCGTTCTCCTGGACAGCAGCCGTTACGACAAGTATCTGACAGCCCGATTCCAGAATGCAAGTCACGTACATTCTCAATTTCTGAAGAAGCATCTTCTTTTGTTCTCCCTACTTGGAGCTATGAATCAACAAGAGGATACAATGGTGGGTCATCTGATGGGGGGTCAATTCCTCCATTCTCTGAGCCCACGACGACTCGGAAAGAGAGATGGTCTTTTGATAGTGAAAACTCAGGCTTCAGTCGGGACAAAATGACCAGATCTCCTGGACGAAATTCAGGATCTCCTTCTTTTGATCTCCAAAGTTGTGGTGTTTGTGCAAAACTTTTAACCGAGAGATCCTTGTTGGGCAGCCAAAAAATAATAGCTACCAATGAACTTGCTGTGGTTGCTGTTTTGACTTGTGGACATGCTTACCATGCTGAATGCTTGGAGTATATGACACCTGAGATCAACAAATACGATCCGGCTTGCCCTGTCTGTACTTTTGGGGAGAAGCGGACCATGAAGATATCTGAAAAGGCAATCAGAGCTGAATTAGATTCAAAGGCTAGAAAGCGATCTAGGAACCGTATTGTTGATAGTGATGATCTTATTGTGTTTGATCATCATAAATGCGGTGAGAATGAAGGGAGGGGTCCCAAAATGAGTTCAAGTTCCAGCATGAAAAGTTCATCAGGAATGCCTTTCTTGAGACGTCACTTCTCATTTGGGACGAAGGGACATAAATCATTGTCTGAGAATCATTCTACCCGAAGAAAGGGATTTTTCTGGTCAAAATCTAGCAAGGAATGAACTTCTCGATGAATTCAAAGAAGTGCCCTTCTTTCTTCTGCTTGGAAAACTGGGCAAACTGTTATTTCTTAATCTTTGTTGTGCTTAAGATGTCCATGGTAGTATTCAAATCAGTTCTTGGGTGCATATGAGAAGAACAGTCTCCATGCCGAAGTTCTGGCTAGATGTCTAAAACTATCCCATCTTTTTATCTACAGATTCTTCCACAGTTTCATCTTTCTCTGCTGCCATGTTTTGGCAGTTAACATTTAGGAAGATATAGGACATGGTCATCTTATAGATGACGGATATAGTAGTTGCTGAAGACATATTGTAAAGAATGTGGGGGATAATACTAGTTGAAGGTTCAGTTCATTATATAGGAAAAGGAGAATGACAAGAATGTCAAGTACGAAATTGGTTACATTTTGTTTTGTAGAATTGAGGTTTGATCGTTTCCTGTTTAAGTGCGTGACAATGGTCTTGGTCTTGGTGACTTCCTCATGTATGGTGGTGAAAGCAATAATTCTCCCTTTGATGGTTTTTGTCGCTATTTTAAGGCATCACAAGATGAAGTTCCTGATGTTCAGCAAACAATCCCAGTTTTCTCAAACCCTCGAGTCATATTAAGGCGCATGAGAATAAGTTTTTCATGCTATGATGAACGTCTTCAAAGAATTAATAATGTTTCCAATGCGCATAACTGGCGAAGTTTTGTAATCAAACAGAAATGAAATTCATCTCGATTGATTTGGTGAGTTCATACATTAGAAAACGACTGGCATCGAAGCATTTTTCCGGCACAAATTTGGATGATTAACAAACGTGAAAAGATGTAGGGAATAATTCAATTCAAGAACAGATATTCAATCCAAAGGGGCATATAACAACCATCTCCTAGAAAGAGGAGATACTCTCCGAAAGCTATCCATGTCCAACCCAGATGAAAACTGGCTCCTATTCCTTCCCGAAATCAGTATTATAATGTGCACTTGATTCGAGCTTCTTCGCTTCATTCAGTTTTCTTACGGCCTAAAAAATTGTCGAGCACAAAAAAAGAATTAGATCCCATCTCAAACAAACCTGGAGCGACATAACAATCATGCAGAATAACAGAGTTCCTTTGTCTTGAGCGGGAAAACATAGATCATACAAAAGACTGAACAAGTGCACGACTGAGTACATATTCAAATTTTCTGAGTAGATTACCAATGTATCGCAACTATGTCCAAAGAACACTAACACAAATTGATATGGTGGTGTGGCAAACAACTATACAAGTACCATTCACGCGTGATGATACCCCATTATGTAGGGTTTTTGCTACGAGTAAAAATTTCAACATGCATGTAATTTTTTACCTTCATGAAATCTTCATGGATTACATAATCACGCTCAGCACGAATTGCTGACATACCAGCTTCAGTGCAAATGTTACGCAAGTCAGCCCCATTAAACCCCTAGAGAACGCAACATGTCAGTAACACTAATTTGGACAATTTTCAGAAAAGAACGGGTTAAATAACTAAACTAGTGTTGTTAAGCTCACCTCGGCAAGTTTAACAACAGCCTCGTAATCAATTTCCCCATGCTTGGCGATTCCTGCAGCATGGATCTTGAGAATTTCCAATCTTGACTGTTCATTGGGAAGTGGTATTTCAATTTTCCGGTCTAAGCGACCAGGACGAAGAAGAGCAGGGTCTAGAACATCAGGTCTGTTTGTCGCCATTATCATTTTAACCTGCAAAAACATTTCAAAATGCATCACAATCTAGTCAAACTAGCATGTGCACATTGCGCACAAAACACATAGAGCAGAGTAATGATGATCTTAATCTGATTAAGAGCGCTATAAGCCACATCAAATGGCTTATTTGTAAGCCTCAAATTGTTTAGAAATAAGCCCACCTAAACATGCGCTAAAGCTGAATTTCAGGGGGGAACTGAGAAAAGCTTATTTCAATAGTCAAACCTTTCCAAGCTGGTCAAACCCATCAAGCTGGTTGAGCAACTCCATCAATGTCCTTTGAATTTCACGGTCAGCACTTGTTCCCTCGCTGAAACGACGTCCACCAATGGCATCAATCTCATCCATAAATATGATGCAAGGCTTCACAAAGAGAAAATAATTCATAGCATCACTTTCTTTAGGATAACTGAAATAGAACTTACCAAATTAACATATTTCAGAGAAGCAAAAGATAGTAGCTTTCTTTTTAATGTGAATAAATAGATCCTTACTTGGTGCTCACGAGCATAACCAAACATTTCCCTGATCAATCTTGCACTCTCACCTATATACTTATCGATAATGGCACTTGATACAACCTGCACAGTTCCAACTTGTAAGAAGTTAAATGCTATGATGATTCTGAACTAATGGGACTGTTATGGGTGAATAAGGATCAGCTGTAAAGGTATCTTTTTACCTTCAAGAAATTTGCATCTATGTTGCTAGCAATTGCCCTGGCTAACAATGTCTTGCCAGTTCCGGGAGGACCATAAAGAAGAACACCCTAAAACAGAGAACACAGCATTGCTGAAAGTAAACACCAAGATAACATCTAAAATCTTGTTCTCTTTAAAAATGTAATACCTTTGGAGGTTTAATGCCAACCCTTAGGAAGAGTTCAGGATTCATCAGAGGCAACTCTATAGATTCTCTCAGTTCTCGGATCTGATCTGACAGCCCACCCACAGCCGAATAGCTTACATTCCCAGGGTCTTCATGAAGCATATTATACACAACTGGATCAACCTGATAGACATCAACAACCAATCGGTCAAGATAACAATATATAGAATTAATTCCATGTTAACCTTCTAAACCAAAATATCAATGTATTCCATCAAATTGTTGTGTACCTCACGAGGAAGTGCTCGCATAATAGTGAGAGTTGTCATATCAAGAACTACTCTCGTGCCAGCTGTAAGTTTCTCTTTGTCTACTTTACTGCGGCAGCCAACCACATATCTTGGACCACTGCTGGCTTTGACTATCACTGAAAATTATATATGAAGTCCGTGTAAAAATTTATGCATCTTTTCACCTCCTAGCTTATGGAGAACAAGAGAACAAAATGACCAAGAGTACTAAGAAATGTTCAGAAGAAGCAAAATAAATTATTGAACAATCAACTTTCAGAATAAATATTCAAATCTAAGGATAGTGGTGACAAGAAATAGATGAAAGAATTCTTACAGCGCTCATTATCCAGAGGCCTGAGAACTTCGCCTATGATCTGTCCAACACTCTGAAGTGACTTTAAATCATCTTCTGTTTTAGCATATTCCTTCTTTGTGGCTCTTAAATTCTCTCTAACTATAACATTTATACAGTGTCATTAAGGCAGAGCCATAATGTATAAAATATACAATGGAAAAGATATAGTTAAAGTGATAGAGCTAAGATGCCGAAAAGCTAGTCCAAATTCTGATCTATAGTGATTGAAAGATCATACCACAATGATCATACAAAGAAAATAGAAAAACTCATAACAATCTATATATGCATGAAGATGAAGCCTGTGGATTTTTTGAACTCAAGAACTACTTGAACATATAATTTAGTACATATTGCCCATACTTCTCACACTTATGATATAGTAACTAATCCACATAGATAGTCCATCATTCAGTGATATTTTCAGACATATGTACTCTTCTCCACACTAGCCTAACATAGCCTAAGATCTCATTAGACAGCCCATACAAATTCAGCTCAGTTTCAGGCATGTATCAATGGTATTCTGCTGTCGTGCCTTGCGGTCCTTTAAGAAGCCAAAAGCTTGTAAAGCGAATAGCAGCTAGAATCCAGGTATTCAAAAGTCAAGCATATATGATCAGCTAAACATGCAACTTTATTGTCTTTAAAAATGTCTTTTATTAAAATTAACATCGCTCACTATTTTACAGAAAAGAAATAACTGCTACATAATCTTTTGTGAAGTAAAATTAAATGATAGAATTCACTAATGTAGGATTCATAAAAGTCATAATTTTGTTAACAGGTTATATAGGAATCCCTTTCGAGATGAATATTACATTTATACTTAAACTAATGTTGATACCACAAGATGACTTCCTCTCGTCTTGTAGCTGAAGTGAATATTTTTCCTTTGGAATTCGCTAATTTAATGTATATATGAGTAAACATCAAATATACCTGATAAATGCAAAATATTGCACTATCAAGTGAACTGAATGCCATTTAACAAAACAATAAATTCCGCACAAAATATTTTATATGCTTCATTTTTGTGTTCTTTCAGAAATGTACTGACATATGCACAAATAGTGAAGGAATCCGAAGACCAAATAACAGAGCTACGTGAGGCCAAGAAGGATCCAAGTCCGACACAACTATAAAGTACCTCATGACCATTTTAAAGCCAATGTCCAAAATGATAGACTTTTGCCATCGAATGGAGGAGAAAAATTATTGCTTTTATGGAGGAATCACTCAGCTGTCATAGACTCACATTTGGATATAGCGTATAAGAAGGAATAGACAAACCTTGGGCAAAGAGAATACTGTAGAAGTACCAACTTTCACTACAAATATAGATGCATTTTTAGCATGTGGACCATGATAGCATGGAAAAAGAAGATTTGTGATGAAATTTCTGTGACTTATTATTTATAGTTAGAAAAGAATTAATGTTACTTTGGAAATTAATTTTTGATTCATTATTAACTCTGGTTACTATGAATCCTTGTAAATTACTTGCAATTTAGTAATTAATTCTCTAAATACTTAAATCTAATAAACACAAGAAAAATCATCTTTTTGAGAAATTAATATTATGTTGTAAAGGGGGCAGAAGAATTTGTTACATAACTATAATAGTGAATTCCCGAAGTCTTGGTTATTCAATAAATATTGATATTTAATTATAATATTCCCAATCACCATAAACTCTCATTATCGTAACTGTTTGTTGTTCTCTTAATTTCACTCCTTGTGATCGACATCAGACTTCCGAGAATTATTACTTCGAACAATCCACAATTGGATTGCGACAAAAAATTCCTATAATTACTTTCTTGGCAAGATCTCACGATTATCGTGTGTAGCAATAGAAAAAATAAATATATACAATGGTGATAGTAATGGAAACATCAGTGTGCAACCATATAATTTAAGGATTTTAATATGAATGGATGTCATATTTCATATTCTGCAAAATTTTAATTTGAGGGAACTGATTCCAAAAATAGGACTGCACCAATTGAAGTGTGTGGATGTGAGATCGTGAGGAAGATCAACTTGTTATCTAGAATGGGTTGCTAAGCAACAAGGCTTAAGGCCTACCTCGCTGAATCAACAATCCTAATACGTTCTAACACATACAAACACCAACATCAAATGCAGCAAACTACTTCAGCATAGCTCTGTTTTGTTATGAAACAAGTGCAGAATAGACGCACGGTGACCTTCAGGTAACAAAACTTACTCCCAGAAACCTAGTACAACAATCACCCAATTCTAATGCTAAAAACACAATCACCCAGTTGGAACTAATACCCCTCACACCAATTGTGTCCCTTGACCCAAACTCGAATGGAATAAATCAGTCAATCTAATACCAATAAAAAAAAAAGCTTACTCCAAAATGATAATCATACTCCAACAAGGACAAAACAATTCACAGCCTGAATTATAATGAAAATCAAATTTAGATTGTTCAAATTTTAGACTTTATATTTATATTAATAGATAACTAATCAAATTAAACCTTAATTTAGCCTAGCTCCAACAAATTCTCAAAAATCAAAACCAGTAAAAATAAGGTAAACTCTAAATATTTTATCCAGGAAATCCATAAATAGCTAAAAAAAAAGCCCTACAATATCAATTGCTTTGCCAGTCATCTTCAATTATCCATTCATCAGCCACCTTAAATCTTAACAACACTAAAACCTCCCTATATATTAATTAAAGTCACGCATAAATATTCAAAGAAAAATGTAAAAGTACAGATCAGCCACGACGAACGCATTGATGAAATGTATTCTAAAACTGTGTTGAGAAAATAAAGGAGAAGACTAAGGTTCAATAAAACGACACCCGATCGGACGCGGCTCTCGAGTTCTTTGTGACTGAGGAGCTTTTTCCGGTAGTCCTGAATCGCCGTCTTCCGGCGAGCGGCGTCTTCAGTCTCGCTGGCCATTAACGTTCTTTTGATTTATCTTTTTGCTGTTCTTCGATCTGAATAAAATGGATTACCCTTGAGTGATATATTCGTTTGGGTCTGGATCAACTTGTCAACCAAGCAAGGCAACTAAAGAATTTGACAAATATAGCACTCAATTGAATTCTTTAATGTGTGTTTGACACCTATTTTGGAGAAAAATAAATTTTAGAATAGTGATTGATGGGAAGAATGTGTGATTAAAATGTAAGAAGAATTTTTGGATTAATGCGTAATATTATTTTATTGATAGAATGTGTGGTTGAAATGAAGAAAGAGAAAAAAATGGGAAAGAGAACGAGAAGAGAATGAGCCCCTGTTTGGCACCCATTTTTTGCTCATTCTTTTTCTCTTTCTTCATTTCAACCACATATTCTATTAATAAAATAATATTACACATAAACCTAAAAAATTTTCTTACTTTTTAACAACACATTCTTCTATCAATCACTATTTAAAAACACATTTTTCTACTAGAATGAGTGTCAAACACCACCTGAATGTCAAACAAGGGCTTAGTTTATTGTGCTATTGTAACTCTTGTTATTATTAAAGTACTTTTTAGTCGTGTGCCAACATTTTTTGTTTCGAATATTATCACTATGTCACTTATCGTCTCTTAAATTAATATAAATCGATTAATTATTGGTCATACTGCTATAAATCTTTTCATATAAACCATGTTATATCATAAAGATGTTTATATTAAAAAAAGAAAAAAAAGCATGCCTTTTACTCTAAGGCATGTTTGATAAACCTAATTTTTCATGGAATTTGGAAAAGAATTTATTTCTTCTTGGATTTGGCATGTTTGATAGACACAATTTTTTAGGGTAAAAGTTTTCCAAGGTCCTCCTCTACGCGCCAGTTTTCTGCTTTTTTAGTGAAAATGTTTTCCCACCTTTTTGGTGGAAAAACTGTTTTCCAGGTAGCTGACCATTTTTTTTTTATTTATAGCAATGGAAATAAATGTCATAGCCAATTGTAAAAAAAAAAAAAAAAAACTCACTTTAATGAANAACAAATTTTAAAACAAAATGACAAAAAAAAAAAAAAAAATTCATTTTAATGGACAATTTCCATGTAAAATAAAGTCAAATGAACACTAAAATTTGATTAAAAAAATGATTTTTTAGGAAACAATTTTTTTTTCATTTTTTTTAACTTTTTGGCAATGGAAACAAATTTTATAACCAATAGTGAAAAAAATATCACTTTAATGGACAATTTCTATTAAAATAAAGCCAAACGAATAGAAAATTTAAAAATTTTTCGAATGAAAAATTATACTAATAAAACACGTTTGAAATCATTTTCCCTACAATACATTTTCTAGGCAAATCTTTTCCCTATAAAACATTTTCTTTCCACCCATTTTCCACCCTTGCAATCAAACGCACCCTAAGTAATTTTCATTGATTTGATGGATAAAAGGTGAGAGAATGTGACATGGTGGTGAATTTGAAACTTAATTGAAGTTTAATGGTCCAAGTAAGATTCTTCATAAAGTTTAGTGACTATGCATGAAATTTAAACGATAGTGTTTGACCAGTTCGACTGGTGTAATTGCTAGTCGATAATCCTTTCAAGAATAGAATTTTTCCTCTTGTACAGTCATTAATGGACTGTACATGTAGCATCTTTCTCAATAATAAGCGCCAAAACTTAACAGAAATTCAATGACATAATCTCTCCATCCCTCAATCACGCGATAAAATTTTACAATTTCAACAAATAATAATAATACGTTCATACAATTGATGATAGGTAAATGAATCTAGTTTTCTTCTTCCATAGGCAAAATCTTAGTTTTTCTTCTTCCTCGCTAAGAGGGCTGGAGATGGAAAAGATGATTAAACTACCATCTCCTTCCAATCTCCGCCTATCGCCACCGTCTTTCTCAGCCTCAACCATGGCGGCGATCCTTCTGGTTCTTTTTATTTCTATCCCAAATTTTGTCAATGCTGTAAAATCTAATTCGTTCACCCCACAAGATAGCATTCTTGTTGATTGTGGCGCCACTACCTCCACCACCCTCCCCCGCCAAAGGGCGTTCTTGAATGATCAGGAAACTTGAAAATATTTAGCCTACGAAGGACAAGATGTTAAGGTTTTTGTAACGTCCACTGATGTTCCTTCACCGGTTTATCTGTCGGCTAAAATATTTGAGTCCATAGCAACGTACACTTTCCATGTTACCAGGCCGTGTTGGCATTGGATTCGACTCTACTTTTTCCGGTCAAGAACAACAAGAAGGATTTGAAGAAAGCAAAATTCTCACTCAAGACAGTTAGAATTCACTAGCTGCTGGTGCATGGTTTGGTTTCAGCAGATATTAGCACAGGCCACATCCTGATTTTTAGGAATTGGAATAAATTCTGTTAGCCAACTATTTTACAATTGGTTAGAGTTTGTTTAGCTCAATTCTAGAATCTTCTTACAGTAGCCTGTCTGGGAGGGATTGTCCAGTTTTGAGAATCAATTTTGCTGTCCACATCACCCACAGTGAACGTGTAGAAGAATTCAAAACATGAAGCAAAATCTCAAGAGTAGCCTGTCTGGGAGGGATTGTCCATTTTTGAGAATCAATTTTGCTGTCAACATCACCCACAGTGAACGTGTAGAAGAATTCAAAACATGAAGCAAAATCTCAAGAATGCTCTCTTTGCCAAGACCACGTGACGTGTACCATTTCAAAACCAATGTTGACCTTTCTACATTCAACCAACAAGCATGCGGTTCCACAAAGTCAAATATTTCAACTCATGTAACAAATTGCATGGAATGCGTTGAAATTGATGTGTAAGAACTGAAAATAATTCACATTTTTTTCCTAACAGTACGTGATACGAAATACGTTGTCGGCAACGACATTGTTTGTTTTTCGAGATGACTTCATTGCACAAACGTCAATCTATTTACGAAAAAAAATTCAAAACTTGTTGTGCCAAGTTCACATTTTTTCTTAACATTACGTGATACAAAATACGTTGCCGGCAAGGACATTGCTTGTTTTTCATGATGATTTCATTGCACAAACGTTTATCTATTTACAAAAAAAAAAATTCAACCTTGTTCTGGCAAGTTTACATTTATTCCTAATATTACGTGATATGAAATACATTGTCGGCAAGAACATTGCTTATTTTTCGGGATGACTTCATTGCACAAACGTCAATTTATTTACGAAAAAATAAAATTCAACCTTGTTGTGCCAAGTAATCTCGGAACATATCCCACTCATTTCGTTGGGTTTCTGGTGCAT